CCTGCTGAAAGGATTTGATGAGAATGGATTTGTCTGGTTAGTGCACTCACTCCCTTTTACGCAAGAATTGGGAATGCGTAGCTATCTGTATGCAACCTGATTTTACCTGTTCATTTCTCATACACAGGTTCACCAATTACGAGAGTAGAAAGGGTTCTGATTTATCAGAAAACCCTTTTGCTGCGCTTCTTTTTTACTGGGATAGCCTTAATCGGCAGGTTCATTTTCTTCTTAGTAGTTGTTCATGTGGCGTTCCTATCCTCTCTCGCAAAACCAGCTGCTTGCTCCAGTGATGTGTGGCAAGTAACAACTAATAGCGTGTAATTAAAATTCTTTGGCTTTACTAATACCTATCAGGTGAGAGTTGAAGGGCCTGTTGAGAAACTACCCGAGGAAGAATCTGAGAAGTACTTCCATAGCCGTCCTAGGGGAAGTCAGATCGGAGCAATTGTTAGCAAGCAGGTGTGTTGTTTGCTTTATATGAATGACTGGGGACTTCCTCAAATGTAAATGCCGACAATCTTTCGTTTTCCTTATATTTTTCAACCTTTCGCCTTTTTTCAGAGTTCGGTTGTTCCTGGAAGGCATGTTCTATACCAAGAGTACGAAGAACTGACGGATAAATATTCAGATGGGTGAGTTTCAAAACTCGTTAGCTCGAGTTTTTACGTTTGACATTTCCATCATCCACATGCTTCAGGCTCTTGTATCTTTCAGGAGATGCATATCGATATTTATTTGTGAATTCAGATTGTACAAGTGTACTGCGCGGTCGAATGACATGGCTGAAGGAACCCTTGTTTTGTTTCTCGTTGCAGAAGTTTGATACCAAAACCAAAAAACTGGGGAGGATACAGACTTAAACCAGTCCGGTTTGAGTTTTGGCAAGGGCAGCCGTCTCGTCTGCACGACAGGTCACCTTACTCTAAATTCCGTCTATAAGCATCTCTCTAGTTCCTGAGTTTCTGTGTTCCATTATATCGAGTTCCGAGCTTTGAAAACATTAAAGCTTCTGTTTGATTCCGCCCATCTACTGATCAGTAAAACAGCGAGAGTTTCATCAAGATCACAACTCGGAAACCCAAATCACTACTCAGTCACTCGGGTTTGATTCCAGTGCTTCCTTACGCTAATGTATGGGTTTGATCCGCAGATTGGAGTACGCCCTTCAAGACGCTGACAGGGAACCAGCGTGGAGAATTCATCGGTTGGCTCCATGACTAGTATCTATCTGCAACTTCTTCCCCGTGAAATCTGCCAGGTCTCTTACCGAGCTATCGGACTACAACCCAACTCAAGGTATGTGTTATTATTCCTCCGGAAAAAGTCGGTTATAAGGGTGAAACTTGCATTAAGATCTCATAGAAGAAGAATAAGGTTTGTGTCTGTTGTTGTGTGAGAATGGTCGAAAGACAAACTGCTCGTGACATCAACTCCTTTGCTTTGAAGTCATGATCTGTCACAGTTCTCATAGTTGTAGAAGCCATGTTAAAACCACCAAAATGCAAACACAACAGCACGAAATAGATTTGCCCTAAAACCGTCCTGTACCTAAGGTTGGTTCAATTTCGGTTTTCGGTTTTCGGTTTGGATTATTCGGTATTCAAAACGACAGGATCAAATAAAACTATACTTGAAATTTGACCGGATTTCGGTTTTGGTTTTTGCTTGTTGCTAACCATAAACTATCCCCAAGACACGTTTTTTTTTTTAAAAAAAAAAATATATATATATATATATTTATTCTTGTGGAAAATAAAAAATTTAGAATTATTATCTCCTATAAGTTTATTTTCATCCGTACAGGGCCAACTAATGACACGTGTTGGTATTAATAAGATCTGTTTTTTTTATAAACGGTATTAATAAGATGTTAATAATGTCAACGTTGAAATTCAATTTTTAAGATAGATATAAATGTAGAATTATGAAATTTGTCGGAAGACAAAAAAAAAAGAGAAACAATATTTCATTTTTTACTCGTGATATGATATATTATATGAAGCTATAAAATTCGTGATTTTATATGGGAGTCTTTGAAAGTTCGAATGTATTAAAAGTAAATTTTATTCGAATAAAAGTAAATTTTGTTAGATTATACCATTACATTTAACTTTGTGGAATCAAAACGTCAAACTCCTCTAATAAAAAGGTGTAAAGGAAATCCATTTATAATTATAGAAACCTCAGTAAGTAGCATTCTTAATTATGCTTCTGAAAATGATGGAAACTATACAGTAAAAATCTTTTTTTGATGGGTTAGCTATATCTTTGGGGGGGAAAAGTTACCAAAGGTAAAAGACCGTTGAGGTTACAATATGGGGTTTCATCATTTAGACTAATTGGACTTTTATATGATAACTATATGATGAGATAAAGTGTCATTTCCATAATTATATGTTAATCCCTTCCCATAAGCATTCTTTTTAAATACCTAATTATTACTTTTTGGTTAAATATTTCCGCATAATAATAATTAATAATCAAATAAAATTAATTATTATTTTTCTAATTACTTTATTGAATTATGTGCTTCTAATTCTTCCTACTCCTATTAACTTAACATGCTTGTACAATTACTAAATTTGAGAAATTAATTGTTTCCGAAAAATACTGTAATTTGTGGCCGATTACTCCTAAATATAAATTGAAGTTTCACCAAATATCGTAAGAATTGTAGAAATTGTGCGATTCATTGGATTATCTAACATTCCAAACATGGAATTTTATAATCATTATTTAACAAATATGAAAATTATATAATGAACTAAAAATGTATTTATCTAATGAAATCGTTATAAAATTATAGATTCTCGTATTATAAATCATCCCATAACACCTAAATCAACACCATATAATCTCAAGACCTATCTCAATCTTCTTTTTTTTTTCAAAGCATAAAATCTTCTCTTTTATAAAACTTCTCAACATCCAAATTATACATTATATAATCGCCATTTTTGGTGTTCTTTGTCTTTGAATAAATTTTATTTCCATGAATCGGGATTTTGATATCGCTTTCTCACCATCACCTAAACATTGATTAAATTAATCAGATGGGCCAATTAATTAAACTATAAAATTAAACCAAGAGAAGAAAAAAAAAACGCATCTATATATGTAATTTCATATATAGATATAGAGATGTACAGGTAACACATTTCTTATTATAACATATTTATTGACCTTTTTATATTTGTGTGTTTTACCAAACGTAAAAAAGAAAAAGAAAAAGAAAAGAAACCCAAAAATATATATATTGAACCGGACCGGATATAAACCGAACCGCATCAAGCACGACGGAAAGTGTTCTCGTCGTCGTCGTCGACGGCATCGGTGGCTCCGGTGGCCAAATCGATGAAACGGATCATCTGATCGTTCATCATCGCCAGCGTCTTGGAGGCGACGTCCGTGTTTTTTCCGATCAATGACGTCACCTCCGTCGTCTGGTCACGTGACACCATGACGTCGTAGTTAGCCGTGTCCGGCGAGGACGTGAGCTCGCCCAAGGCGCTTCGGAACGACGCCTGGATTGCCACGTAGGCGTTACGGCACGACGCGAACTCGGCCTTCTTCGAGGGGTCCCTCTTCGCGGCCTCGTCGATGAAGGCCAACGTCTTCTCGGCGTGAGCCTTCCCAAGACCCACTACGACCTCGGCCAGGGGGAACTATTCAATTTCCAAAAAAAATGTTTTTTTTTTTGTTAGAGATTCTCTTGTTATTAGATTTTAATATTTATAACGAAAAATGTCGAAATCTTTCAAGCTCTAAGATCTCGGTTTTCTGCTGTTTAGGTCACGTGAATTTTAATATTAGGGTTACAAGTCTGCATGAAATTTCTCGGAACAAAAATAACGACACATCGTACGTCATTATTATAATATTATAATTCCATTCGAATATAAATATGGGAAAACAATCGTAAAAACCCTCGATTTTCAAAAAAGATCCATTTAAGACTTAAATTATTGGTAATTCCAAAATAACCTTCAACTTTAAGAAAAATATATTAAAAACCCTTAACTATTACTAAACATCTATGTAAAATTTTAATCATAAAAAAAACATATTTACCAGACCGTTGGCGGCAAGAGCCGCAGGATTCCCCAACAGAGTTTTGAGGCAGTAGGTTTTGTCGGAGACACGCTCGCAGACGGAGTCGATGAAAATGGAACGCTGTGCCACGGCGGAGTTGGCCGTCAGCGCCAGAAATTGGACGATGATGGCCGCCGAGACGACGGAGAAACGACCGGAGAATGAAGCCATAACTTCGCCGGAAAAGTTTCTTGATTTATTGGTTTTTAATACTTTCCGGTGAAGAATTTGTACGGAATGGGGGGACACGTGTTGGTATTAATAAGATCTGTTTTTTTTATAAGTGACCATTCATGCTTTGCAGTTTCGTAAATGGTTTGATGAGGCTGTTACTGCTGGATTGAGAGAAGAGAACTTATAGACAAAGTATAGAGGGGAAATGGGCTAATTAAGACAGCGGTAAATATTGATTTTGATTTAAATTTACTAAATTTGATTTATTCTTTTGCTGGATTGTGATCTTAATCTGGAGATTCGTTCACTAATAGTTTGTGGTTTCGGTTGATTTCACGACATCTAATTCTAAGGTATAGTTTTAACATACGATTTATGTAAATCAAGATGATATATATATATATTATAAGTATTTTTCCATAAATAGTTGTAACTATATGGCGTATGATTTGCTGTCAATAGGAAAATTTAAGAAAAACTAATATCTATATATGGATTTATAAAAACTAATTCCAAAGACTATTTTAAATTTCAACAATTCATCCGATTTCTCTCAGATTTTTTTTTATAGAAAAAAATCCATTCGCTTTCTCCTGATTTGGGTTAGAAAATTAGAAGGAAATCCATAAATTTTGAATTTTTTGGGAGAAATCTTATGAATTTTGAAAATGCAAGGAAAAAAAATTGATGTTTTACAAACATTCAAGAGGAGATATGAATAATTCAATTTGTTTTGGTAAAAAATTAGATAAATTGCGATAATTGAGAGGGAATTGCTAGTTTTCTCGCTCGTTTTTTAAACAAATTGAGTGTATGTGAAGAATATAGAATATAATATACGTATATATACATATACATACATACATATACATACATACATATACATATATATATATATATATAGAAAGAAATCCTCACAATTTATCAACAAAACATTCAGAACGTTAATTTAAAAAAAAAAAAAAAGGAAAAACAAACCAACTGTGCTTTCTCCTCTCTACTTCCAACATTACATGAACTGATGAAAGACACATCCAAATCCAACAACAAGTGTCTTGTCTCATTTCGGTTCCTTCCACGTTTAAAATGTTCATAAAGCCCCAACACCAAAATCACATCTGAAGAAGAAGAAGAAAGGGCAGCAAGAACAAGAGAGAGAAAAAAAACCCAAAAATAAGAATCTTGCATAAATTTACCTGTTATCAATGGCTGAATCTGATCATCACCGCCCTTCCTTTGCAGCTGCGTAGCTTTTGTTCTTCTCGCCAACCGTTGTGGGATTCGCTATCGAGTCCGGTTCTATATCCCAGCTCCCGCTTCTTCTTCCCCAGCTCCCATGCCGAGTTTCTGATCTTATGGTGGGGGCTCTCTGGTCAGAAGAGCCGAGAATGGATTGGTCCATGTCCACGACGTGGTGAGGAAGATCGTTGCTGCCGCCTCTGCTGCGTAAATCCTCGTTGATTTCTTCCGGGTTACAACGCTGAGAGATTTTCAAGAGATCTTCCCCGATGTCTAGATCGTCTTCCACCTTCTGACGCCGAGTTCCGGATTCTTCATCTGCTTCGGCTGCCGCTTCCCGACCGGGAGGGTCGTCTTCCACCTTCTGACGCCGAGTTCCGGATTCTTCATCTGCTTCGGCTGCCGCTTCCCGACCGGTAGGAAAAGAGATAACCCTCGGTGGTTCTTCTTGGATGAAAGCTCGGAACTTGTTCCTGGAAGGCTTGATCCTGGAGCAGAAGATTTCCAGGAAATTGTTCGGACAACCAAGGTTGTACACGTTGATTCTGCTGTCCGCCCTGTAGCGGAAGTTCTCATAGGTTGTCTGAAACAAGACACGGGGGTTGGGCGTCAGCCCGAGACAAATGCAGAAAGATACTCACAAGCAGACAGAATCTGACGAATCTCCTGGAAATGTCAACAATCAGTTAAGTGTCAAAACGATAATTCAACTGACCTGGTTCGTGCTTATGAGGTACAAGTGGAACCCCGTAAGGCCACCGACGAACCACAAGGCGACAAAGCAATATATCATCAGCATAACTGCCCAAGGTGATTCTCTCATGGCGCTCCATACAGTACCACGGTTATGATCCATCAGGATCTTGATGTACAAAGCTGACATCGAGAACACATAGATGCAGAGAAGGGTTGCCGAAGAAACAAACATGAAGAAGTACCGATAGTTTCTCTGCCATTCACAAAATACTAAAGTTCAGAATCGGTGTATAAAGCCCGAGTTCCAACTAAGGAAACAGATCGTTTAAAAGAGCTTACGAGTCCAATGCATTGGCCCACCCACGGGCAATGATGGTCAAAGCGCTCGACACAGTTGTTGCAAATGGAACAATGGGAGCAACGAGGAGGCCGATAAAGCATACATGTGTCGCAGTATTTCACTCTGACAGAAATGCCATTGACCATAACTTCTTTCGTCCTAGGAATTTGGACACTGGGTGTTTGCCTTCCATCTGCTGATACCGTTGTGTCGTAGCGTAGGTCTTCCTCTGGCGGATGTAAATTTCGTGGAATGATACCGGGGTCACGAGCAGAGGTGAGGGAGAGGAGAATCAATACCTATCAAAATCAACTATATGATTTGAGCAAACAAGAATGAAAGAAAACGTCAAATAAACCGAAAAGCGACAAAAAGAGACACCAAATCTCACGAAGATCACAATTCACAAGGCTTACTGTTGGGCTTATCCTCTAGTGTTTAACAAAGAGCGAGTTTTTTTTCTCATTAACGGCACTTACAGAAACAGGAAAGAATAGAAAAAGTAAAGCCAAAATGATAGGATCCTGAACATATTCTAAGTCCAATGGAGAGGAACATCTTATACTATATGACCACCAGTATGGCCACACGAAATCATTCTAAGATTCCAAATGCAACTTCCGAAAGAACTAAAGCCTCATCCTAGCAAATCACATGCAATGCTCTTAAAACCCGAAATTCAAGAACCGCAAAAGAGTAGATAATTCCTGGCAATATCCAAAGAGCATGAAAGACGAGCAGAAAAGAAATGTAAAGCCGGATACATGAAATATTGTAAATGAACCAGCCAAAGAGAACTTACATAGATAGTAAATAGAATCGCTACCACCAATATTGCGTACCCTGCACTGTACGGAGAGAATTCATGGCGTAGATGCCTAGCCACGAATACGCAGAATAGAATAACTGGAACTATGATCAGCAGCAAAGTAAAAGGCAATGACCTAGCATCTGGCCCAAATATCAATCTCCCACCGAGGATGAACTTCTGCAAAATAGCAACGAAAGAGGAATTGGATATCATTGGAACCAATCAATTGAAACTACCAAACTGACAAACTGATGAGTTACAAAGCAGCATCCACATCTGGAGCACACATGACCAAAGTATATGATTGCTATGCTAATGATATCCACACGTGACACAACAAAAATCTGAATAGAAGATTACATCAAAATGAACATTCATGCATGTTGTAATAAGAGATGTTGTCAACGATAACGGTAGATAAGTTCAACAATATGGTACTTATGGCGATGACATGGTCACAATGCTGGAAATACATTGGTAAAGTGCAAGCCAATAATACCACCATGAAAAACCAGGAAGAAACACTTAGAAAAGAAGACCAAATGAAAGCCTAACAGACCATAAGTAACGGACAACTATCTGATTGTCAACTGTTTTCCCCCATTTTAGATGTCATTGTCTTCATCATCAGCTCGAACCATTGTCGGTGACTCACAAACAACATTATGAACTAACATTCTGACCCAGCAACGAAAAAACTGTGCAAACTGTAGTGCCCAGCTTATGAATTCAAAACCACTACCATTGGGACATCAATCTAATTGAAAATGGTGACAAATCCATCAGGGCGCTGAGATTCCGATGATTTCAGCTCATAACCAAAGATTGGTGAACAGATGGTTCAAAAAGCATGAAGATTTACAATTTCTCCAACCAACACATACTCATAAACGCCAAATGAGTTGTCACCACACCAGAGCACCAAAAGACTACGGTTCTTCACCCATAGCTTTTGTGTAACCTAAGTGAACCAATCAGTGAGCCACAGAAGTATGACTATTCAACCAATGCCCCAAAAGACAAAAAACCTAATTCTCTTACATACCCTTGGACGCCAACTCGAGGAAACGTCACAAAATCAACTAAGACCCAGTAATTTTTCTTGTCAAACCAACAAAATTCAGACCAAACCCAGATTCCGAAAACAAGAAGGAACTACAAAAATCCAAACTTCAATTTCTTTTAAACCCAAATGGTCGGTAAAACAGCCTTACATTACTTCCTTTCCAGGCTTCGTAGACCCGTTTCGCCATGGGAAAAGAACAAGCACACGGCAGAAGGATCAGAAACTCCTCACTACTCGCAGTCGATTTCGAGGATCCTGAAAATTTCTTCCCTTCTCGATCATTTCATTAAGAAAAAACAAACAAAAAAATCGCCGAGCCTTCTCTCCCCCTCTGCGTTTCGACAGATAACAACTACACACGAAATTGACGAAGACCCCACGCCGAGATTCCAAAATAAAAGAACGGGGAATAACAAAAATTACAAGAATTTTTAAGGTTTTGAGGTTCGACAGCGGCCTCTGGGTCTGATCTGCCTCACAAAGGGCGGTTTTGTGTTCTGTGTTCAGCGGAGAAGAAATTTTGTTTTTCGCTCACACTTTTTTCTGTATTTATTACGTCATCGTAATGTCTCCTAAACCACAATCGATTTTACTTTATTTACCGAATTTACGGATATATCCTCAGAACCTTACGAATTTACCTTTGGAGCCACTTCGCATCGCCAGTCTGTATTATAACCTTAATACCAAATTTGTAATGGCTGTATTAAACATCAATGTATCTATTTATTTCACAATTAGTAACCTTTAAAGCATACTTAATCTGCAGCAAATTCATCAATTTCAAATTTTATATTTGTTGCAAAGCCTAATGACAATGATTAGCTATATTAATCCAAGATTAAGATACTATGCTATATAATTACATTATTTCTAAAATAAATAAATAAACAACACAACGGGTAGAAGTCACTGCCGTTGGCCGATTCCATGATAATTAATCTTCTTGTGATTTTCATCAATTGAAAAAAAATATTGTTTTCAGATAAAGCGACATACAAAAAATATATGAAATTATTAAAATTTTCTTAACATTTCTCTGACAAACAGATTATTTAAAATTTCTATGTAATTGAATAGTAATTTTTAGAATATATTTGGTTTTAATTTAAAAAATGAAATTTCAGATTTCAACTATTAAATTGAAAATGTAAATAATGTGTAAGTAATATTTGAAACTTTTATGCATTTAAGTTAACAGTTATATATTTATATTAAAAATCGTAGTTTTATTTAAATTTTAAACAAGTTAAAAAGAAATTTCTGTTGTTATTATCATTTTCACAAAACTTTCATGAAAAGTCGTGCTGAGAGATTCGCTCTCTCTTCTTTTTTCTCGCAGAGCATTTGTCCTCCAGAAACAAATATTCTTTTTTTTTTTTGGTAAATCAGAAACATATATTCCCTTTCTGTAAATCTTTTATTTTTTTCTTTAACCTCTTAAATTTGTTTTGTAAATCTATGTTGTATTTATAATTATAATTTTGGATTTTTTTTAAAAGATAAAAAGACAAATATTGGATTTGATCTATAGACTTAGATTTCTTTCCAGCTCAAGACTTTTGTAACCTTAGTTTTCATACATTTGTGGCTTTAACGAAGTTTTGCTCTTTCTTCCTTTTTTCGAAAAATTGAATTTATAACTTTTTATATCTAATTTTACGGAAGGATAATCCAATTGAGATTTCTCAATGTAAATGAATTGAATAAGATACAATCATTTTTTTTATTTGTTCTATAAACTAATTCAATATTGATATGATAATAACCTAAACATCAGGTGGAAATTTTTTTTTTTATAAAATGAATTTTTTTTAGTGAAAACCTAACTTTAATAAAACGCCTATTCTGTCCCGAATTTGAATTTCAAATTAGGGGAAGAACGTATATTCTAATCATATGACTTATTTCGGTTTCGGGATTAGTTTGAGTTTCGGTCTAGAACACCTGTTTACAAAAAAAAAAAAAGAATGATATTGCAACATTATCTAAACAATGATACCATTTAAAAAAAATGGGAAAATGTATTATATAATGAGAGGCAAACCAAAATTGCTAAATGACTGAATCCAAAGTTGAATCTCTAGTAACATTAGGCTCGGTTTTTATTTTTGTTAAAAAATAAATAAATTGCCCCTCTTAAAACATTTGTTATTTTTTCTAAACATATAAAAATATGGATTACGATTATAGGATTCTAATCATTTTTTAAGAATCTGAATTTATAACACCGCCACGACTAAGAACATTGGTAACGAGAGTCAGGATCTGTTATATCAGCAAGTGCTCCTACAAAATTTAGAACGTGGTTTAATTATAATTGTAAACCTATTTAATTGGTTTAATTATAATTGTAAACCTATTATAATTAAATCAATTAAATAATATTATATAAGTATTCGATTATTATTATTAAAAACATGTAAATCGATGTTTTGCACTATGAAAAAAACAAAGCCCTCACTGATATGGCCCTAAAGAATTTTAAAAGTTATTGGGCCTTATATGGGCCGACTCTACTGAAAATGGGCTTTTTGTTCGGACCAAATAATTTTACTCATGGAATCTATAGCCCTATAGACCCATCAAAGCCCAAGGGTGGTTCTTTTTTAATGCTGTTTTTGGGCTCGTATTTTGTTTTCAACTAATTGATATGAAATTAACAAAAAAAAATGTATTAACTTTACGTGCTTCCTAATAAAAAAAATTAAATTTATTATCTTCTATTTTCATTATATTATTAACAAGTATTTTTTTATTATATTATTAAGGTTTCCGATGATAAAAGGATTATATCTTTTTGTAGGCATTAAATCTGCACTTTATTATATCAAATGAAAGAATATGGAAGACGGTATTTGAATGTCATTTAATGCAAGCCAACCAAATTGCATTAGAGCTAGTAGTTTATTTCAAACAATAATATTTGATTATTTATGGTAATAGAAACGAAGCATCTGTTTTTTTTTATAAAAAGATTAATAAATACAAAAAATTAGTATTTGAAAAGCGCTTTAATTGAGTTCTAGATTAGATGAGAGGATATAAGAAAATTGAATTCCCATTAATGATAGGTAGCTTCAAAAAGAAATATTTTTAGAAATTTTCATTGCCGATAAGAAGTCGATAACCTATTCTTATGGTTTTCAAAATTTATTATTTGCACAGACACACATATATATATATATATAGAGAGAACATAATTCATTATAGATATATTATAAATATCAACCTTATCTACACAACAAAGATATCAAACAAATATAATTATTTTAATTATTAAAAAACAAAACATAATTTAGCGCCAACCTCAAAATTTCCATCTCCTTCCTTTACGCGCCAATTCCAACATATTTCCATTTGAGCCCCGCATAATCTCAGTAAATTCGTTTTTCACCTAAACTTTTAGAAGTTCCAATTCCGCCCCCTCGTAGTTCTCAATAGTCTTTGGTTTCGTCGTCAAACATGGACGAACACGAACCTCACGGCAAACCACGTTATTCCGTATAAGAATATACTGATCCTTTTCTTATCCTTTATTTTCCTCTGTCCTTTTTCTCGGTTCTTTTGTTTTTATTTCCCGTTAATTACAGCGTCGGTTCTCACAAGATCGGTCTAGCCTTCTTCGTTTCGGGACAGGGCTGCTGTCTTGTGATCCCACGAGGGACGATTCATCGCTTCTGAAGCTCAAGCAAGCAGCTTCTAGCACTCCATTTGGGCTTTGCGGAGCACATTGGAGTGACCAGGAACCGGTTAATCCCTGACCTTTGATCAGTTCTTTACATTTCAACAACCTTGCCTGAAAGATCACAATCACATAAAGATGACGAAGACCGATGAAAAAAACGAATCTTTGCTGGATTGGATCAATCGGGTTTGGCCAATCGGATAGTTCATCAAGGTTAAATGTGTCCCCATCAGTTCATGGCAAGATCAAGACAATGTCATCATGAATGTGAGAGAGCCAATGTTTTTTGTGAAGGACCACCAAGAAGGGGTTTTTCTTTTTACCTTTGAGACGTATGGAGAGAGATTGGAGAGTGCTTTTTCACTGTCCAAAGCAACGTGAAGTTGTTCCTCTGCAGAAGAAATTACCACAGCTGCTGCAAGCTCTGAAGGCTTGAACTCCAAGAAGTGGATCCCTGTATTTATTATTCCACACACCCACCAAAAGCCCTTGAATCCATTAGTTTCATCACTCATACCAATCATCTTCCTCTCATTCAATTCATTGATTGCTATGCCTACCCCTCCATCCAAACCCTTTCAATCGGTTATCACTAACCTTTGAGTGTGTTTGAGATGAGTTGACAGGATCTCAAGATTGTGAATCTTCGGAGAGATTGGTCAACATTGATCTTGGAATGGAAATGATCCAAGAAGGAGAATGGGGTCACTGCTTGCATTCTCCACTTCAATGTGCTAAGCACAAGAAGCTCCATCCTCTGTATGGTTCTTGCGTCAAACACAAATTTTGACTCACCCACCTGCTCATTTTTCGACACCTTTCCATATAAAACTATCGGATTCGACAAAAAAGTTTAGATTTTTTTTCGAAAGGAGAGATCTTTGATTCGTGGGCATTGTTAATGAGGGCAAACCTGAAGATCTAGGGAGAGTGGAACATCAGTCTCCTCCATTTTAGCAGCAAGGGACAAACATGCCACAGCCAACAAATGCATTATCTGTGCTTTGCCCTTCAGTTGCTTCACATTTCCGATTTACAAAACATTCAAATTCAATTACACAAAGGATAAAAATGGGAATGAAACAGGGAAAAGACTTACAGATAATTCATACGAGGACAAGAATCTGTCCATGTAGTTTACGGACAAAAATGCACAGAGAGGTCCAAAGCCAAAATGGGCATGAACCTGAGTTAACGAGGAAGATGGAAGAAACACCATTATCGTTAATCATTGACAAATACTTTGCAACAGTAACAGAAATCGACACCCATTTAAATAAACTCGTTTCCCAACAAAATCAGAACCCATCTTTTAAAAAAAAACTCGTACTTTACAAAAGAACACACACCTTGCAAATCCAATCGATGGCTTCCGCTCTAGCCACCACATCCAGATCGCCACTTCTTAGTCTCTTCAAGTAGTCGTCTCTCGGCAAATGCTCAGATTCCTTATAAATCAACGAAGACAGACCTTCCTCGCTGTCCGAAAATGGCGGAGCGATGCCGTCTCCGTCGCCGCCGTAAAAGCTCCGGCCGCGATGGTTATCCGTTCGACGATTCCTAAGGAAGCTTGTGGCCTCGTAGATGCTATTGTCGTCGAAGACACTGTCGTCTTCGGCGCAAAGTAGGCTTGAGACTACCGCACATTCAAAACTCGGTGCCATTGATGAAAACTCCGATTCACCACAAAAATGGAACCTTTTCCCCAAAAAAAACGTCTAAAACCAGATTCTTCGGCAAAATCTGTGAAAACAGAAGGCGGGTTCGTGTATTAACTCTGGCTATTGAAAATTTGCAGGAAAAAGAATCGGAAAACAGTGTACAAAACGATCAGAGAGACACACAACAACAGGTGTAAGAAGTTTTCTCTCTCTCTCTCTCTCTCTCTCTCTCTCTGGCAGAGAGGCCTGAGAGAGTGTGAGGAACAAAGAAGGTCTTATGGAGGAGAAGCAGTGCCTCTTTTTAGGGTAAAAGACGCAGAGAGAGGACGATTCGCCGAGGGAGGGAAGAAAAAAAATATTTGTGTGGTTTCGAAAATAAAAAAGGGTAATTGCTCGAGAATTACATAAACATCAAAAAATATAAAACGTATTATTTTTATTATTTTTTAAAAGCACACCCAATAAAAATGAAAAATATTCAGTTTAAAGTTTAATTATATATAAATTTAATAAACTAACATCTTTCCAAAAAAATATTTATAATTGTTATATAAAATATATTTATAATATTAATTTATTATTATAATTAGAATTAATAAACTATATTAGTGTTTTATATATTATAATTAATAAAAAAAATTATTGATGATTAAAATCTTTATTAGATGTTTCTAAAGAAATTTACCGTCAAACAACCTGTTAAACACCACATTTATCTTTAATCCAATCGAGAATTTCAATAATTTATTTTTCGTTTAATTTCAAATTGCATTGAACTACTATTAGAAACAATTTAAACCTCCACGTGACTGCGGCCTTTCAACAATTCCTTGGTAGGAACTTGGAACTTTAAGTACCATAAATAAACAAAATCTATTTAATAAAGAATGATTTCTTTAAAATCGGGCATATCAAATTTATAGTCATCATGGGTTTAATTGATAATTTATAAAGTGTGTGGATGGAATTAGAAAGAAGTAAAATGCCTTCTATGTTTTTTTCTTCCTAAAGCGACACGCGTCCTCTATATTTTCTATTTTCGTATTATTTCTAACAATAAAAATAATTCCCTTTATATTTTTGTGGATTTTTTTATTATATATAATTATATTTAATTTTTTTGCCTCAATTTCATGATTCCTATTTTTTTGCTAAAGTTTCCAATAGAAGCTCGTATTAAAATCGAATCAGCCAGATGAAATTTCTATTTTTATTATCACTGCTAAATATTATACTCGATTAGAATCGTCGAGTAATGTATAAATATAGATTTATAGTCAAATAAGACATATAATAGTCATCCTGTTATAAATGAATAGTGAAGCTACGGTACTGTTCACGCAGCCGGGCACTGTTCACGCAGCCGGGTACTGTTCACGCCCCCTCTATTATTGTTATGGTTTTGGAATGAGATTCCTCGACCACCTCCTCTATTCCAACTTCGGCTAACGCCACGACCTCGTCCTCGGCCTCGACCTCGACCTCGGCCTCTACCTTGAAACTAACCACGTCCTCGGTTATTATAAAATATAACATTCTCTCCAGGGAATGATATATTTTCTGTAACATTTACTTCAGGAAATGGTACAGAACCTGTCGGCCGAGATGCATGATTTTTCATCAGTAATTCATTATTCTGCTCGGCCAATAGAAGACATGAGAGAAACTCTGAGTATTTTGTATACCCCTTTTCTCGATACTGTTGTTGGAGGATAATGTTCGAGGCGTGCATAGTTGAAAAGGTTTTTTCCAACATCTCATTTTCGCTAACTGTTTCACCACATAATTTCAAAACTGATGTGATTCGGTACATTGCCGAGTTATATTCACTGACAGTTTTGAAATCTTGAAATCTGAGATGAATCCACTCATATTTTGCCTTGGGGAGGATTACCGTTTTTTGATGATCGAAACGGTCTTTTAATTTTTCCCAAAGATCTGCAGGATCTTTGATTGTCAGATATTCCTTTTTCAAATCATCATGAATATGATGCCTCAATAATATTAGTGCCTTTGCTTTATTTTCAGTTGATGCACTTTTCTCTTTAATTGTGGCACCAAGACTTTTTGATTCCAAGTGCAAATCAGCATCCAATTGCCACGATAGATAATTTTTCCCCGATATGTCGAGGACCTCGAACTCGATATTAGCCATTCTTGCCATTATGACTAAACAGAAAAAAAACAAGCCATATATTAGCTTTATTCATTATCATAGATAATACAACATAACGAAATGCATGATTACATATAAATTGCTATAATTAGTAACACATACACGAGAGGTAAGACGGCAACGCAAATTGGAAACAAAACTGGGTCGGGATTTTTATCAAAGAAAATACCAAACGTTGCTACTACAATTGCTACAACAAAGAAAATTTTAATAAAATCCATCTTGGGAGATTTTTTATTTCGTGAGAGAAGAAGAGAGAAAGATGATTTTGTGTGAGTTGTTTGAGTGAATAAATGGGTGTATTTATAGGGTGAAAATTACTATTCATAGCCGTTGGGGAGGAGCCAAAATTTTGACATATCGGGGAAAAATTATCTATCGTGGCAATTGGATGCTGATTTGCACTTGGAATCAAAAAGTCTTGGTGCCACAATTAAGGAGAAAAGTGCATCAACTGAAAATAAAGCAAAGGCACTAATATTATTGAGGCATCATATTCATGATGATTTGAAAAAGGAATATCTGACAATCAAAGATCCTGCAGATCTTTGGGAAAAATTAAAAGACCGTTTCGATCATCAAAAAACGGTAATCCTCCCCAAGGCAAAATATGAGTGGATTCATCTCAGATTTCAAGATTTCAAAACTGTCAGTGAATATAACTCGGCAATGTACCGAATCACATCAGTTTTGAAATTATGTGGTGAAACAGTTAGCGAAAATGAGATGTTGGAAAAAACCTTTTCAACTATGCACGCCTCGAACATTATCCTCCAACAACAGTATCGAGAAAAGGGGTATACAAAATACTCAGAGTTTCTCTCATGTCTTCTCTTGGCCGAGCAAAATAATGAATTACTAATGAAAAATCATGCATCTCGGCCGACAGGTTCTGTACCATTTCCTGAAGTAAATGTTACAGAAAATATATCATTCCCTGGAGAGAATGTTATATTTTATAATAACCGAGGACGTGGTTATTTTCGAGGTAGAGGCCGAGGTCGAGGTCGAGGCCGAGGACGAGGTCGTGGTGTTAGCCGAAGTTGGAATAGAGGAGGTGGTCGAGGAATCTCATTCCAAAACCATAACAATAATAGAGGGGGAACACATGATCATCCAAACAAACGGATGAAAGAAAGCACATGTCACCGGTGTGGAATGACAGGACATTGGTCACGTACTTGTCGCACGGCTAAACACTTGGTGGACCTTTACCAAAAATCGATTAAAGAAGCGAAAGGGAAAGGTGTCGAGACAAATCATGTCATAAACAATTCGGATGATGATGCTGGTGGTGCTAAAGATTTTACACACATGGACCTCGCTGATGGTTTTGCGCATCCTGAAGATGGCGTTGATTATGAATAAAAAGCCATATATATAGTTGTATCGTTTATATATGTAATCAACCTCGTAATAATCCATATATGCATAAATAATGCGTCTACATTTTGTAAAATAGTTATGTATCTGTGTCATCATTTCTGTTAGTCATAATGTTATAATATATTTTCTAATGTTTACTATGTTATTTTGTTCTTCAATAGATAATGAGTATGGCTAAATCTGCAAATCGAGGAAGAGATATATGTTTAGCAGATAGTGCTACAACACATACAATACTAACAGACAAGAAATATTTTTCTACTCTGAAAATAAACAAAGGAAATGTCATTACTATATCTGGAAATGCAAAAATAATTGAAGGCTCCGGAAGAGCCGATTTCATAATGCCAGGAGGAACAAAATTTGCTATAAAAGATGCACTATTTTCCTCCAAGTCCCAAAGAAATCTATTAAGTTTTAAAGATATCCGACTGAATGGATATCATATTGAAACCACAAATAAAGGTGATATTGAATATTTGTGTATCACCTCAATCAATATGGGACAAAAATATGTGTTAGAAAAATTACCCACTCTATCTTCGGGATTATATTATACTAATATCAATGTGATTGAATCATATGCCACAGTAAACCAGAAGTTTACCGATATGTTCAAAGTTTGGCATGATCGATTGGGGCATCCTGGTGCCATTATGATGAGAAAGATTATCGAAAACTCTCATGGTCACCCATTGAAAAACCAGAAGATTTTTCAATCAGATGAGTTTTCTTGTGATGCATGTTCTAGAGGAAAATTAATAATCAGACCATCACAAGCTAAAATCGGGCATGAATTACCATCATTTCTAGAAAGGATTCATGGTGATATTTGTGGACCTATTCATCCACCATGCGGACCATTTCGATATTTTATGGTATTAATTGATGCTTCAAGCAGATGGTCGCATGTATGTCTTTTATCATCACGTAATCTGGCATTTGCCCGATTTTTAGCCCAAATAATTAAATTAAGGGCTCAGTTCTCGGAATACTCAATCAAGAAAGTGAGGCTTGATAATGCTGGAGAATTTACATCACAAGCATTTAATGATTACTGTGTAGCAATGGGTATTGATGTTGAACACCCAGTTGCACACGTTCATACACAGAATGGATTGGCAGAGTCATTAATCAAACGACTCCAGCTTATTGCTAGACCATTGATAATGAAAACGAAACTTCCCATTTCTGTGTGGGGTCATGCCATTTTGCATGCTGCAACATTGATTCGTATTAGACCAAGTGCATACCACAAGTATTCTCCATTGCAATTAGCATTTGGTCAAGAACCTAATATATCGCATCTCAGAATATTCGGATGCGCAGTATATGTACCGATTTCCCCACCACAGCGTACAAAAATGGGACCACAAAGAAGGCTTGGAATATATGTTGGGTATGACTCACCATCCATTATACGATACCTTGAGCCAAAAACTGGAGATATTTTTACGGCTCGTTTTGCTGATTGTCAATTTAATGAGAATGAATTCCCACCATTAGGGGGAGAAAATGATAGAATGGCGGGAAATAAAAATGATCTTAATTGGTGTACACCATCATTGTCACATCTTGATCCCCCAGCAAAACAACGAGAACTGGAAGTTCAAAGGATCATACATTTACAAAACATTGCAAATCAGTTACCAGATGCTTTTGCAGATACAACTAAGGTAACAAGATCATATATAGATGCTGCGAATGTCCCAACTCGAATCGAAATTCCGAAAGAACAAATGAAAGAAAATGTAATAAACGATTCTAAAGCACGCCTGA